TCTTTCTTTCTTTTTTTTTTTCGGAGAGGTTTTTGCTATAGGACGTGTGCTCTCGCCAGACAGACAGAAACAGAAAGTGAGAAATCACCCCCCAGGGGGGATGGGCACGCCGCAACCCCTTCTCCTCCATTCTCGTCTCGGGATCTTGGGCACCCACGCGCCCAGCGTGAGTTTTAAGCCACCGGGTCTGGGACGCGAACCGCGGTCAACTACGTGGGAGTCCAGCGACATAGCCATTGCACTAACTGCTGGTTCCCAGTTTTCTCTGTTTAAAGAAATGGACCAGAGAAAATCACTTGGCCTTTCATGTAAAGAGAAACTATTTAATTTTTAATTTTAATGAGAACTATAAGATAATTAACACTGAGTTACTCATGTATAAATGTAAAATAGGCAAAGAAATCAGAATATTGGCTTGTCTTTCATAGTCTGAAAGCAAGCAAAAGAAACCTTGCAAAATGAGTATGTTTTCTGAGGCCAGCAGATGGCATGGTGGTTAAGGGGCTGGACTCTCACATTGTTGACTACAGTTCAAGTCCTGGACCTGGTGGATTGTTTTCTCACTTTTCCTCTCTCTCTCTCTCTCTCTGTCACACAGTGGTCAAACTTAAAAACAAACAAAAAAAAGGCAAAATACATTTTCTGGATGTACTTTAGGAAAATAAGACTAATGTAACATTTCTATCAACTTTAATTTTTGCTAAGTTAAAAGGTATGTTCAGTTATTCATATATTGACTTTAGGAAATTATCTTTTTTCCTTGTAAGTGACATGTAAATAATATCTGTGAGTATGTTAGCAGCATGAATGCTCATTGGATGATTTTGTATTATTCTAGGATCAATGCTGTATCCAATGCTCAGGTGAGAGGTGACAGCTATGAAAGCGGCTGTTTAGGAAGAACAGGTAAAGGCATTGTAAGCTCTTACTATATACTAGCAAAGTGGGGATTTATTAGCAGAATGAAAGCCTCTCTCCTGTGTATTCAGGACTGGTAATAATTATACAGACTGTTTCTTATTGACTTTTAAAATTGTTTTAGTATTATTCAAATCCTTATCAAAGTTAAAGTTACTGGGTCAGCTCTGTGGAATAGTCAATGAGCTGCTCAAGAGAAGCTGGATCCCACATGGTGACCATGGTTCAAATCCACAGCCCAGGCAGCTTGAAACATGTCAGACAAGGGTGTGAGTGCCCTAGATCTGACTTGAGGAAGCATATCACAGTATGACCTGACCCTGTGAAGGGTGCTCATCTCTCTCTCTCACTTTCACTCACATACATTTGCCTTCTCTCATAAATGAAAAACAACAAAAAAAGAGAAGTTAAATTTTTGAGTTTGGGTTTTTTGTTTTTGTTTTTGTTTTTTAAGATTTTTTGCTGTAGAGTGCCTGTGCTCGCCGGAGAGACAGAGAGACAGAAAGCGAGAAATCACCCCCCATGGGGTTGGCCACACTGTAGTCCCTTCTCCTCCATTCTCTTCTCAGGATTTTGAACAAATACACACACACAGTCATGCACATGCACGTGCGCATAGCCAGTGTGAGTTAAAGCCACTGGGGCCAGGACTTGAACCACAGTCGACTACATGGGAGTCCAGCAATGTAACCATTACACCATCTACTGGTCCCGAGCATGAACTTTTTTTAAAAAAGAAAGTAAGTTATACTTATTGCCAGAAGGTACTATTTTTGTCATACTTCCTCACCTATGGTGTATATGAAATGCTAATATTCAAAACCAGTGGTTCTAGGCCTCGGGTTACTTTTTATTGCTAACAGTGAATTTAGTCTCATCTCAAATGTTTACTAGTGATGTTACTTATGAGATAGCCGATGGTGACTATTAAGAGCAAAGTAATGGACACATTGGGGACCACCCCAGGACTGGGTGCTTTCCCACATTTAGTTGAGTGGCTACCAACAGACTATGACAAAATTCTTCAGGAGAAGTCTGCTGTTTCTCTATGAATAAATTATATTTTTGTACTTAGAATTCCTTTGAATTGTCACCTAGTAGTATTTTTCTTTTATGCAGGTTATAACACATTCTGTTAGAATCCAGAGTTTATTTTTAGTGGAATTTCAGCACCCTTTGTAAAAGGAACAGGAGGAGAAATCCTAGTTCCAGCCTTTAAGGAGAAGGGTGATTTGTGATTATAGTTGGAAATTTGGAGTAGGTGGGAGAGAAATATTTTTTTTAAGAGATTTTTGCTATAGGGCACGTGCACTCGCTGGAGAGACAGAGACAGAGAGAAAGAAAGTGAGAAATCTCCTCCTAGGGGGCATGGCTACCCAACAATCCCTTCTCCATTCTCCTCTCAGGACCTTGGGTATGCATGCATACGTGCCCGGTGTGAGCTATTTGAGCCGCTGGGTCCAGAACTTGATCTGAGGTTGACTGTGTGGGAATCATCTACTGGTTCCAGGGGAGGAATTTTGAAGCTATTTGAGCCGCTGGGTCCAGAACTTGATCCGAGGTTGACTGTGTGGGAATCATCTGCTGGTTCCAGGGGAGGAATTTTGGAGGATTAAAAATAATTTCAAATACCCATAAAATGTAGTACACACTACATGAAAGAAGTGCTCTTTTTTTTTTTTTTTAAATTAAAGGTTTTGCCATAGGGCTTGTACACTCGCCAGTGAGAGGGAAAGTGTGAGAAATCAGTCCTCCAGGGGGTATGGCCATGCCATAATCCTTTCTCCATTTTCCTGGGATTTTTGGGCATGCACTCACATGTGCCCAGCATGATTTTTAAGCTGCTGGAGTTCAGCATTATCATCACTATGCCACCTGCTGGCCCTAGTAAGTGATCTTCTTATCCCTATTTTTGGACAAAGGGACCTAACCACAGAAAACTTAGATAAAAGAGAGGAGGGGCCAGCAGGTGGCATAGTGGTTAAGGCACTGAACTCCCACATGGCTGACCACAATTTGAATCTCCGATCCGGAGGCTTGAAATTCACACTAGGCACATTTGGGTGCGTGCCCAAAATCCCAGGAGAAGAAGAGACTGTGGCCTGTCCATCTTGTCTGGGTTTCTCATTTTCTGCCTCCCTGTCTGTCCCTGTCTCTCTAGTGAGCACATGCACCATATCACAAAAATCTCAAAAAAAAGTCTTTGCCAACTCTGTTTCTGATGTCTTCTAGAGTTTCCCCTATGTTTTCCACCAATAGTTTTATAATTTGAGTTTTTATATTTAGATCTTTGATCCATTTTGAGTTTATTTTTGTTAATGGTGACAGATAGGGGTCCAGTTTCATTTTTATGCAGCTGGATATTCAGTTTTTCCAGCATCATTTGTTAAAGAGATTTTCTTTTTCCCACCAGATTAACTTGTGCCCTTTTTAAAAATCATTTGGCTCTACAGTTTAGGGGTTATTTCTGGGTTCTCTATTCTGGGTTCACCATTGGTCTCTGTGCCTGTATTTGTGCCAGTGCCATACTGTTTTGATTCCTACAGCTTTGGAATGTATTTTGGGGTCAGAGAGTGAGATGCCTCCTACTTCCCTCTTTTTGCACAATGTTGCTTTGGCAATACAGGGCCTTTCATGATTCCAGACAAATTTTATGATTGTTTTTTTCTAGTTCTGTGAAGAATGTCTCTGGTAATTGGATTGGTATTGCATTAAATTGATAAACTATCAATAATTTAGGTAGAATTGACATTTTGATTATGTTAATTCTTCCAATCCAGGAACATGGAAAGTCCTGCTTTTTTGTATCATTTTCAACTTCTTTTTAAAGTTTTTCATAGTTTTCCTTGTAGGGGTCTTTGACTTCTTTGGTTAGGTTTATTTCTAGTTATCTTACTTCTTTTGTGGCTATTGTAAATGGAGTTGCTTTCTTCAGTTCATTCCGTTTGTTCACTGTTGGTGTATAGAAATGCTATAGATTTTAATGTTGATTTTGTATCCTGCCACTTTATTGTATGTATTTATCACTTCCAGGAGTTTCTTTCTTTTTAATGGAATTTTTTTTTATTTTCTATGTATATAATTATGTCATCTTCAAATAGAGGTAATTTCACTTCTTTCCACTGAATGCTTTTTATTTTTGTCTCTTGTCTGATTACATTGGCTAGGATTTCCAGTACTATATTGAAAATGAGTGGAGAAAGTGGGCAGCCTCATCTTGTTCCTGTGTTTAGTGGGAAAGCTTTCAGCTTTTATTCATTCAGTATGATGTTAACTATGGGTTTTTCATATATGGCTTTTATTGTGTTGAGAAAAGTCCCTTCTGTGCCAATTTTGCTGAGTTTTAATCATGAAGGGATATCATATATACATATATATTATTTATTTATTTTCTTTTTCTTTAAAGAAACATTTTTGCTATAGGGCATGTGCTCACCAGAGAGACAGAGAGAGACAGGAAGCAAGAAATCACCTCCCAGGGGGGATGGCCACACTGCAGTCCATGCTCCTCCATTCTCCTCTTAGGATCTTAGGCACGCATGCACGAACGCCTAGTGTAAGCTTTAAGCTGCCAGGTCCAGGACTCAGACTATGATTGACTACATGGGAGTCCAGCAATGCTACCATTACGACATCTGCTGGTCCTGGATATTATATTTTATCAAATGCATTTTTCTGTATCAGTTGATATGATCATGTGGTTTTTAATCTTTCCTTCTTTCTTCTTTTTTCTTTTTTTTGGAGTATTTTTTGCTATAGGGTGTGTGCACTCACTACCCACATGGCTGACCACAATTTGAATCTCCGATCCGGAGGCTTGAAATTCACACTAGGCACATTTGGGTGCGTGCCCAAAATCCCAGGAGAAGAAGAGACTGTGGCCTGTCCATCTTGTCTGGGTTTCTCATTTTCTGCCTCCCTGTCTGTCCCTGTCTCTCTAGTGAGCACATGCACCATATCACAAAAATCTCAAAAAAAAGTCTTTGCCAACTCTGTTTCTGATGTCTTCTAGAGTTTCCCCTATGTTTTCCACCAATAGTTTTATAATTTGAGTTTTTATATTTAGATCTTTGATCCATTTTGAGTTTATTTTTGTTAATGGTGACAGATAGGGGTCCAGTTTCATTTTTATGCAGCTGGATATTCAGTTTTTCCAGCATCATTTGTTAAAGAGATTTTCTTTTTCCCACCAGATTAACTTGTGCCCTTTTTAAAAATCATTTGGCTCTACAGTTTAGGGGTTATTTCTGGGTTCTCTATTCTGGGTTCACCATTGGTCTCTGTGCCTGTATTTGTGCCAGTGCCATACTGTTTTGATTCCTACAGCTTTGGAATGTATTTTGGGGTCAGAGAGTGAGATGCCTCCTACTTCCCTCTTTTTGCACAATGTTGCTTTGGCAATACAGGGCCTTTCATGATTCCAGACAAATTTTATGATTGTTTTTTTCTAGTTCTGTGAAGAATGTCTCTGGTAATTGGATTGGTATTGCATTAAATTGATAAACTATCAATAATTTAGGAAGAATTGACATTTTGATTATGTTAATTCTTCCAATCCAGGAACATGGAAAGTCCTGCTTTTTTGTATCATTTTCAACTTCTTTTTAAAGTTTTTCATAGTTTTCCTTGTAGGGGTCTTTGACTTCTTTGGTTAGGTTTATTTCTAGTTATCTTACTTCTTTTGTGGCTATTGTAAATGGAGTTGCTTTCTTCAGTTCATTCCGTTTGTTCACTGTTGGTGTATAGAAATGCTATAGATTTTAATGTTGATTTTGTATCCTGCCACTTTATTGTATGTATTTATCACTTCCAGGAGTTTCTTTCTTTTTAATGGAATTTTTTTTTATTTTCTATGTATATAATTATGTCATCTTCAAATAGAGGTAATTTCACTTCTTTCCACTGAATGCTTTTTATTTTTGTCTCTTGTCTGATTACATTGGCTAGGATTTCCAGTACTATATTGAAAATGAGTGGAGAAAGTGGGCAGCCTCATCTTGTTCCTGTGTTTAGTGGGAAAGCTTTCAGCTTTTATTCATTCAGTATGATGTTAACTATGGGTTTTTCATATATGGCTTTTATTGTGTTGAGAAAAGTCCCTTCTGTGCCAATTTTGCTGAGTTTTAATCATGAAGGGATATCATATATACATATATATTATTTATTTATTTTCTTTTTCTTTAAAGAAACATTTTTGCTATAGGGCATGTGCTCACCAGAGAGACAGAGAGAGACAGGAAGCAAGAAATCACCTCCCAGGGGGGATGGCCACACTGCAGTCCATGCTCCTCCATTCTCCTCTTAGGATCTTAGGCACGCATGCACGAACGCCTAGTGTAAGCTTTAAGCTGCCAGGTCCAGGACTCAGACTATGATTGACTACATGGGAGTCCAGCAATGCTACCATTACGACATCTGCTGGTCCTGGATATTATATTTTATCAAATGCATTTTTCTGTATCAGTTGATATGATCATGTGGTTTTTAATCTTTCCTTCTTTCTTCTTTTTTCTTTTTTTTGGAGTATTTTTTGCTATAGGGTGTGTGCACTCACTAGAAAGACAGAGAGAGACAGAAAGCATGAAATCACCACCACCACCCCCGGGGGGGGATGGCCACTCTGCAATCCCTTCTCCATTCTCCTCTTGGGATCCTGGGCATGCATGCATACACGCCCAGTGTGAGTTTAAGTTGCCAGGTCCAGCGACATAGCCATTATGCCAACTGCTGGTCCCTATTTTTCCTTCTCTTAATGTGATGTATTATACATTAGTTTGCTATATGGTTTGTGTACTCACCAAAGACTTGGAGGGTAAGGGAGAGGGGAGCAGGGAAATGAGAAAGCAGCTCCAGGAGGGATAGCCATACTGCAGTTCCTTCTCTGTTCTCTCAGGAATTTTGGCACATACACACACGCTCAGGGTGTTTTTCAAGCTGCCTTAGCCAGGACTTAAATCACACAGTCAGCTTGTGGGATCCACCTGCATTAATCCCCACTCCATGGACTGACTCAACACGGGCTAGAATTTTATTTCCACTTCAGCAGAGCATTGTTCCTCTTCAGTAGGGCAGTGAGCTATAAATATACCCCTGAATGGGGTCTGTCACAAATGTTAACCTGCTTTCTTAAAAATGTGTTGAATCTATTCAAGTGTCCAGATAATTATGTTACTGAGATTCAAGAATTCCATACAATAGATGGTTGAAGAAGTGTTATTGACCTTAAACTTTTCAAAGGATGTGGGGCAAGTTGGTTGCTTTGGCCATCAAACAGTCTAAAATACTCCCAAAGAATGGATGTCGTTTGTGCCATATTGAGCAGTAGTGTAATGTTAGAAACTTACCATTGATTAAAAAAGGCCATATCGGGACCAGCAGTTAGCATAATGGCTATGTTGCTGGACTCCCATGTAGTCGACCGTGGTTCGAGTCCTGGACCTGGTGGCTTAAACTCACGCTGGGCATGTGTATGTGTGTGCTCAAAATTCCAAGAGGAGAATGGAGGAGAAGGGATTGCATGTTTTCATCCCCCACTGGGGGTGATTTCTTGCTTTCTGTCTCTCTGTCTTGCTTTCTGTTTCTCTGTCTTTTTGGCGAGCGCATATGCTCTATACCAAAAACCTCTCAAAAAAAAAAAAAAGACATATCAGTCCTTATGCATTTGAAGTCTCATTCCTCTGTGATGCTGCTGTTTGAAATACATTTACTACTTCTTAAATTTTGTTTAATTTATTTTAGGTTTTTGCTGTAGGGTACATGCGGTGAGAGGAGAGAGAGAGAAATGGATAGAAAGTGAGAAATCGGGGAACCGATTGCGGCGTGACCATCCCCCCTGGGGGGTGATTTCTCACTTTCTGTCTCTATGTCTCTCTCTGTCTGTCTGGCGAGCGCACGCGCCCTACAGTGAAAATCTCTCTCAAAAAAAAAAAAAAGAAAGTGAGAAATCGCTCCCCTGGGGTGATGGCCAATCCTTTCTCCTCCATTCTCCTCTTGGGATTTTGGGTACACATGTACACACACACCCCGTATGTTTCAAGCTACTGGATCGGGACTTGAATTATAGTTGGCCATGTGGATATCCAGTTGCCTTAACCACCACACCACCTGTTGGCATATTCTTAAATTTTATTTAAAAATTTTTAAAAAATAATTATTTTATTTAACTTTATTTATTTTAATTTGACCAGAGAGGGACAAAGAGAGAGAAAGTGAGAAAGCAAGCCGCCAGGTCTGGGAATTGATCCGTGGTTGGCTATGTGGGAGTCCACCACACCACCTGCCGGCCCCTTTAAACATTTTTTAATTAAAAAATAATATTGCCAGAGGGTGCATGTGGTTGCAAGAAAGAGAAAGAGAGCACTCCCAAATAGTGCATGGTTGCACTGCAATCCCTTCTCTATTTCTCCACCCTGTTGGGATTTGGGGTTTGTATGCATGTGTCCTCAGCATGTTTTTCAAACCACCAGGGCTAGGATTTGAACTGTGTGGTCTACCATGTGGAATCTGGCTCCCTTATACCCACCAGGCTGTAGGGCTGGCCCCATTTGGTACTTTTAAATTTTCTTTTAATTTGCTATAGAGTACATCTGCTTGCCAGAGAAAGACAGGGACAGAGGATGAGAAATCACCCCCTCAGGCGTGATGGCCATGCTGTAATCCCGTCTCTACCATTCTCTTGGGATTTTGTGCATGCAAGCACATGTGTCTATTGCGCTATTCAAGCCACTGGGTCTAGGACTGGAACCGTGGAGTTGTCCCTTTGGGATCCGTCTGCCTTAACCTCCATGCCACCTGTTGTCCCCACCCATCTGCTACTTCTAATAGAACAATTACTTTGGGGGGCCAGCAGGTGGCTTAGTGGTTAAGAAGAATTACTTTGATAATACATACAGCAGGGTAAGTTTTCAGTTTGGGCTTAATCGGTTTAGTCAAATAATTAGTAGCGAACCTTGCCTAGTTTACTTTCTTCAGGTCTTAGTTTCTCTAGCCCATAAAAAGATAACTTTTCTTTTTCCCTCCTCAGGTATGATTTAGCCCCTTTTAGTTTCAGTTTTTTAAAAATTTAAAAATTTTTCATTGAGTTAACTGTTACAGCAGATTCCCATAAAAGTATATCTATTTTGATAGGTGTAATACATGAGTTAACAGTGTTCCTAGAGTTACATATTTTTAAGATGTAGAACTGCAACAGTGAGTGAAATCCTAAAACTTCTTTTTCACACAGGTGCTCGAGTTTGGCTCTTCATTGGTTTCATGTTGATGTTTGGGTCACTGATTGCTTCAATGTGGATTCTTTTTGGTGCCTATGTTACCCAAAGTAAGTATTTATTCCTCCTTTATTTACTTATTTAGTTTTACTATAGGGTACATGTACTACTAAAGAGAGACAGGGAGAGAAAATGAGAAATCACTCCCTTTTTCCAAATGGGGATGGCCATGCTGCAATCCTTAGGATTTTGGGCATGCATGCATACACATCTAATGTGTTTTTCTTTTTTTTTTTTTTCTCCTGAGAGATGTTCGCTGTAGGGTGTGTGCACTCATTGGAGAGGCAGAAAGCAAGAAATTACACCCCGGGGGGATGGTCACACCACAGTCCCTTTTCTTCCATTCCCTTCTTGGGATTTTGGGCACACATGCACAAGTGCCCAGCATAGTTTCAAACTGCCAAGTCTGGGACTCGAACCGTGTTAATTATGTGGGAGTACAACACTATAACCATTATGCCATCTGCTGGTCTCCCCAGTGTGTTTTTCAAACCACTGGGTCTGGGATTTTAAAAACATAGTCCAGCTTCCTTAACCTCCATGTGAACTGGCTGGCCCTCCTCCTCTGTGTTATAGGAGAGATTCAGATACATCATATATTTTGTCTACTCCACCTGGAGTAGAATTTCATGTAACTACCCAGTGAGCTTGTATATGTAACTGTGGGTGAAGACACGAAAGTTGTTTTTGTTTTTGTTTTTTTCTTTAGTAAAAGTGAGGATAGTTTATTAAGTGAAAGCTAAAGTATGCTCCCAAAAGGTAGGAGCAGCCCAGGTGGAGAGAGAAAGAGTGGCTCAAGGGCCACACGAGTTATTTAACAGAATTTGTTGGGTAAGTGGAGGGGGATAGCCCTGGTTATGAGGTCCAGTCTGCAGACAGGGCTGTCCTCTCAGTCATTTCTAGAGTTCTGATTTTCCTCCTTCCTTTGGACAGCTAGTCTCTTATTCTAGAGGTCCATTTACTGTGGGTTGCAGTGGTAAAATGAGAAATCAGTACTGGCTTACGGTTTTGCTCTCTCTTTTTTTAAGGCTTTACCATAGAGTGTGTGCTCGCTGGAGAGGAGAAAGAAGGAAAGTGAGAAATCAGCCCCCGACGGGGTGGCCACGCTGCAATTCCTTATCCTCCATTCTTCTCTTGGGATTTTGAGTGTGGGTGCACACACATCCTCCTCCATTCTTCTCTTGGGATTTTGAGTGCGGGTGCACACACATACCTCGTGATTTTCAAGCCACCAATCCGGAACTTGAACCTTGGTTGGCCATGTGGAATCTAGCTGCCTTAACCACCACACCAAAGCTAACCCTGGTTTACAGTCTCTTAAACACAATTTCCCAATCCAGAAAATGCTGGAAATCAAGATTTTTATAACCAATTTGGCAGCAAAGCCTGACCTAATCTGACATGGGACTTACAGTCTTTATCCCATTTAGTGTAAGTTTTCAGATGTTTTATTACGGGAATAAATGATGTGTGTATTTGATTAAGAGATGCTGGTTCAGACCCAGCTGGGGTACTATGTATGCTCTGTGTTATGGTTTTTTTGGAGAGATTTTTGCTATAGGGCATGTGCACTCACTAGAGAGACAGACAGAAAGTGAGAACTCACCCCCCGGGGTGGATGGCCACGTGACAGTCCCTTCTCCTCCATTCTCCTCTTGGGATCTCGGGCATGCACGCACATGTGCCTGGTGTGAGTTTTAAGTTGCCAGGTTCAGGACTCGATCCATGGTTGACTACATGGGAGTCCAGCAATGTAAGCATTATGCCATCCTCTGGTCCCTGTGTTATGGTTTTTAAATCTGAAAAATTCTGAATTCCAAAACATAACCTTATCCCAAATACTTCAGATGAAAGGTATGAATCCTGATAGCTTTCTTCACTGATACCTCCTCTCTTCAACCCCAGCTTCCATTTTTTCAGTCATAGCTACAAGGGATATTTGTTCTTTTTATTTATTTTTAGTTTTGCCATAGGGTGCATGTGCTCATTGGAAAGAAACAGAGAAACAAAGGGAGTATGATGGGGAAAGTGAGAAACCAACCTAAGAGGTACCTTCTTTTCCATTCTCCTCTAGGGATTTTGAGCATGTATGCACATGTGTGGGTGTGTTTATCAAGCTGTCGGGTCTGGGACTCGACAATGTAGTAGGCCATGTAGATCCAACCATCTTAACCACCCTACTACCTGCTGGCCCCAAGGGTAATTTTTTTTTTTTTTTTTTTTTTTGCTATAGGGTGTGTGCACTTGCGGGAAAAACAGAGAGACAGAAAGTGAGAAATCACTCTTCAGAGAGGATGCTCACAGTCCCTTCTTCGTTCTCCTCTCGGGATCTTGGGCATGCATGCGCACATGCCCAGCATGAACTTAAGCCGCTGGGTTAGGGACTTGAACCAGTCAACTATATATGCTATATGGTAGTCAAGCAATGTAACCATTACACTATTTTCTGGCCCCTAATATTTTTTTTTCTTAAAGGTTTTTGCCTTTAGGGCATGTGTGTTTGCTGGAGAGAAAGAAACAGAGAATGAGAAGGCAAGTGAGAAATCACCCCCCTAGGGGGAGATGGCCATGCCAGAATTTCTTCTCTTCCATTCTCCTCCCCCAATCTTGGGTATACATTCACATGTGCCCAGCTTGATTTTCAGGCAACCAGGTCCAGGACTTGAACCTGGCCGTGTGGGAGTTCAGCAACATAACCACTATGCCATCTGCTGGTCCCCAAAGGTAATTTTTTAAGAGCAGATGTGTGTGTACCCTTCTTGTAGAAGTGGTTGATGCAGTGGAATTTGAGTTTCCTAGCTGTAATAGGTGCTATTGCCTTTTTTTTTTTTTTTTTTTTTCAAAGAGAGGTTTTTTTCCTATAGGATGCATGTGCTCACTGGAGAGACAAAACAGACAGAAAGTGAAAAGTCATGTCCCAGGGAATGGCCACACTGCAATTGCTTCTCCTCCACTCTCCTTTTGGGATTTTGGGCATGCACACAACCCGTGCTGGCATGAATTTTGAGCCCACTGGGTCCGGCATGCACACAACCCGTGCTGGCATGAATTTCGAGCCCACTGGGTCCTGGACTCGAACTGCTTGTTGGTCATGTGGGAGTCCAGCAATGTAACCATTACACCATTTACTGGTCTTGGTGCTATTGCCTTTTATCCAGGGTGGGGTTGAAAATCAGAACTTAATTTTAGCAGTGTATTTAGAAGTTTCACTGACTGCTTTCCTTCACTCCAAAGATGGAAGTCAGTTTCCGACAGTGCAGCTTTATTTATCCTCTTACCTCTAGAATCTGTTTGTCAGGTTTTTTTTGCACAACTGTCATTCTCCTTGTCCAGATCCACACTGATCTTCGAATTCTTTTGACAGTATCTCTAAGTCTCATAGTGAGATCGATGCATGATCTTGGGATGTACCTTTGTCTTTCTTTTGGCACAAAATAAAAGAGAGTACCAGGGGACAGCACTTGGCTCATGTTGAAATAGTACTGTTTGATAAATATGCCTGAAGTGTGTGATTTTAGTTACTTAATAGTGCTAATAGGGCATAAAACTCCAGTGTGATGTTTATCTAAGGCAAAGTGTCTTTGTTATTTTGTTATTTTTTAAAAGAATTATTTATTCCATTTTATTTATTTATTTATTTATTTTAATTTGACCAGAGAGAAACAGAGAGGGAGAAGAGGGAAAGTGAGAAAATAAGCATCCAGTGTGATTTTCAAGCTACCAGGTCTGGGACTCTTACCTTGGTTGGCCATGTGGGAATGTCTAGCGCCTTAACCACCGTGCCTGGTCCTGAGGGAAGTGTCTTTATAAAAATAGCTTGATTCCAGGCCAGCAGTTGCTATAGTGGCTAAGACGCTGGACTCCCACATGGCTAACCACAGTTCGAGTCCTAGACCTGGTAGCTTGAAAATCATGCTGGGTGCATGGAGTGTAACTATTCAGGAGCCAGCAGGTGGCATGTGATTAAGATGCTGGATTCTCCTGTGACACTGCGTTTTGAGCCTGGCACTTAGTGGCTTGAAACTCACGCCTCACACATGTATGTATGACCAAAATCCCAAGAGGAGACTAGAGGAGCAGGGACTGCAGCATGGCCATCCCCCTGGGGGATTATTTCTCACTTTCTATCTCCCTTTCTATCTCTGTCTCTCCAGCGAGTGCATGCACCCTTTAGCAAAAATCAATCTCTAAAAAAAAAATAAGTGCAACTGTTCAATGCTTTTAGTGTACTCATAAAGTTGCACTACCATCACCTCAACCCAACTTTTTAAAAATTATTCATTTAACTTTATTTATTATTATTATTATTATTCAATTTGACCAGACAGAGACAGAGAAAGAGAGTGAGAACAAGCTGCCAGGTCTGGGACTTGAACCACTATTGGCCATGGGGAGTCCAGTACCATAACCACCACACCACCTGCCAGCCCTATCAATCAAATTTTATCCCCAGAAGAAACAAACATCGTACCAGTAGCAGTCACTCTCTGCCACCCCCTCTCTTCTTCTGCCCTAGACAGCTATACCACTAAAGTGTGGTGAGTACACCTGAGTTTGGCCCTGTGGCCTAGTAGTTTAGGAAGCTTGATCCCACATGGCTGATCCCACTATGCAGATCTGCCTATTTCATATAAATGGAATCATAAGAATGTATGTGTTTAATTGTTAGAGAGCATGTACATTCACCGTAGAGACACAGACAGAAAGGAAGGGAGAAAGCATGGTCATGCCACAATCACTTCTCCATTTCTCTATCCTATTTTGATTTTGATTTGGGGGATACAGGTGCACATGCCAGGTGTGTTTTTCAAGCCACTGGGGCTGGAACTCAAACCATGGTTGACCACATGGGATCCAGCTCCCTTAACCACTGGGCTAACCTGGAAAGTGTGTTTTAAACTCATTTTATTCTTGGCTCTAAGAAAAGTGGGCTGCTATCACTGATTTTGTCATAATGTCAGGGAGCTCCACCTAACAACAGGAGCAGCAAACTTTTTTTTTTTTTTTTTTTAAGAGTTTGCCATAGGTGAGAGAAGGGAAAAGGAAAAGGGAGAAGGCACCCACCAGAGAAGATGACCACCACACTGCAATCCCTTCTTCTCCATTCTCCTCTCAGGATTTTGGGCGTGCTCACACATATGTGCAATGTGTTTTTTAGTCGGCCAGGTCCAGGCTTCAAACAACACAGTTGACCTTGTAGAATCCATGTCAACAGCTGGCCCCAGCAAGCTTTTATAGGCTGTTCAGTTTTGTTTTTAAACACTTACAATTTTACAAAAGTTAATCCACAGAATTTTCCCTTTGGTCTTCTTGTAAAGATAGTAACCATTTTCTCTAGGATAGATACAGTGAAAAAGCATGATGATGAATTATAATTATCCTTTTTATGTTTTATATTTGCATAATAAAGCTTGCGAATTCATGAAGGAAAATAACATACTGTTAAATAATTAAGAATTTAATCTGTACATTTCTAACATTTTATCTTTCTGTATCAGCCACAAGAGGCAAAGGACAAGGTGCTCCTCCCCTCAGCAGGTTTTTTATTTTTAAGAGGTTTTTTCTATAGGGCGCATGTGCGCGCCAGAAAGAGAGAGCAAGAGAGAGTCAGAGAGACAGAAAGTGAGAAATCATCTTCCGGGGGATGGCCTTGCAACCATCCCTTCTCCATTCTCCTCTCAGGATCCTGGGCACGCACGCACACATGCCAGGTGTGAATTTAAGCCACTGGGTCCAGGACTCAAACTGCAGTCAACTACATGGGTGTCCAGCGACATACCTATTATGCCAACCGCTGGTCCCTGCAATTTTAGTGTAACTAAACCATAGCAATTACTTTAGACAGAAAATCTGAGTCCAGCCCTATGGCCTAGTAGATTAGGAAGCTAGATCCCACATGTCTGACTACAGCTTGAATCTTGCCCTGGTGACTTGAAAAAGCATAGCAGGTGTGTGTGTGTGTGTGTGTGTGCCCCAGATCTCAACAGGATGGCAAATGAGAAAAAGGGATTGCTGTGACCAACCATATTGGGGTGTGCATTCTCTCCCTCCCTGTCTCTTTCTGGTGAATGCATGCACTCTCTGGCAATTTAAATAAAAAAGAAGGAAAGAAAACCCAATGCGTGCATTGACTTTTGTCTAGAGTAAGAGCAGCCCTTTGTTTTTCAAGAATGAAATTTGTGTTTTCTTATTTCAAAATCAGTTTAATCACAGATGTCTTAGAGAGAGTGAGTAATTCAAAATCAGTTTAATCACAGATGTCTTAGAGTGAGTAGAAGCAGCCTGTTGTAATACACAGAGCATGTATTGTGAATGCACACGTTCTTATTATTGCCATTTGCTTTTGTAATCTCTAATCTGTTTTGCTTTGTGTGTGCAGATACTGACGTTTATCCAGGACTAGCTGTGTTTTTTCAAAATGCACTTATATTTTTTAGGTAAGTTGCATAATTTCTTAACCACATTCATGTTTACAGGAGTGTCAGCTTTATTATGAGAACATCATATATGTGGAACACATACAGCTCCCTTACATATTTATTAGGTTGCTGGGAAAGTCACGACTCATTTTTTCGTAGAAAAACAGAAAAATACGTCATGACTTTCCTGACACCCTAATACATGGACTAGGGGGTCAGCAGGTGATATGATGGTTAGGGCACTGGTTTGGGTCCCAGACCTGGTTGCTTGCTTTCTCCCTTTTTCTCTCTCTCTCTGTCTCTGGTGAACACATGTGCCCTATAGTATACTTTTAAAAAATTAGGACTAATAAAAAAAAAAATTAATGTTTTTAAAAAAGTGAAAATGCTTCTGTTATATGAGAATATACATAAGTTTTTAAATTTTTTTTGAGAGGTGTGTTTACCAGAAAGACAGAGAGAGACAGACAGAAAGCAAGAAATCACCTCCCAGGGGGATGGCCACGCTGCAGTCCTTTCTTCTCCATTCTCCTCTCAGGATCTTGGGCACGCACGCACACGCGCCCAGCATGAGTTTAAACCATGGTTCTGGGACTAGAACCACGGTTGACTACATGGGTGTCCAGCGACATAGCCATTACTCCGACTGCTGGTCCCAGAGAATATACCAGCCTTTTAATTCGGAGTTCCCACTATGTGTCAAGACCTCAGCTGGATGCATATCTGTTACCTTTTTAATTCTTATCTAATATTTTTTTTTGAGAAATAAGCAATCACTTCTGTCATGCTAAAGCCTTTATTTAGTTTTATTTTTAAATTTTATTTATTATTCTCATTATTATTTTTAATTTCCAGTAAGGCACGTGTATTTACCAGGGAGGGGGAGAGAGAAAAAGAGAAAGCTGCCGGGTCTGGGATTCAAACCGTGGTTGGTCATGTGGGAGTCCAGCACCTTAACCACTGTTGGTTCTTCATCTAATTATTTTAACTACATGTTAGTTATTTCATTTTGTAGAGCAAATAAGGCTCAGAACTTACTTAAGGACATGCAGAGTTAGTACACTGTAGAGCTGAGATTTGTAATAGACTACTGATTCCATAGCGTATGCTTTGTTATTTTATTTTATTATTATTTTTTTTTTAGAGTTTTTTGCCTTAGGGAGTGTGTACTCACCAGAAGGAGAGACAGGCAGAGATGGTGAGAGGAAAACTGAGAAATCATCCCCTGGGGCGAAGCCATTGCTGCAGTCCTTTCTCCAGTCTCTTCCGTCCAATCTTCGTTTCTTCGTTTGTTGGGATTTGGGCAATGCATTCACACATGCCCACTATGTTTTTTAAGCTGCTAGAGTCAGGATTGAACTGTGGTTGGCCATGTGGGATCTGATTCCCCTAACTACTAGGCTGTAGGGCTAGCCCCTTTTTTCATTTTTTTTAAAAATAAAGGTGCTTACTACTTTTTTTATTAATAAAAAAGCATAGGCTGGGGCCAGCAGATGGCATAGCACCTACATCACTGGACTCCCACATGGGACTACAGTTCAGGTCCTGGCCCTGGTGGCTTGAAAATCATACCAGGCTCATGTGCATGCGTGCCCAAGATCCCAAGAGGAGAATGGAGGAGAAGGGACTGCGGTGTGACCATCCCCCCTGGGGAGGGTGGTGATTTCTGACTTTCCCTCTCACAGTCTCTTTTACTTTCTCTCTCTGTGTGTGTTATAGGATTTTTTTTTTTTTAACAATTGCATGTTTACATTTATTTTATTGTTTCCTTCATTAGACTCTGTTTAATTAGGAGGATTTGTCCCACAGTCCTACCCCACCACTTAGTCAGGTTCCTGGTATGTAACTCATGCATATTATTTTTTAAAAGAATGAAAACTTAGGCCCTCCAGGTGGCGTGGTGATTAAGGGCGCTGGACTCCCATGTGGCCACCAAATTCAAGTCCTGGACCTGGTGGCTCGCTTTCCCACTTTCCATCTCTCTCACTGTCTCTCACTCTGTCTCTCTCTGGTCAGATTAAAATAAATAAATAAATATTTTTTT